GCTGGGGTCCCGACAGAGGTGCAGCGAGGTCAGGAGTGCTGCCGGGGCACCCAGCAGCAGCTATGGGGAAGGAGGGTGTCAGCACCAGTGCCATTTGTCTGTCCCCATCTCATCCTTCCCAACCTGTCCCATCCACCGCCATCCCACCTCACTTATCCCATTCTGCCCCATCCACCCCGTTTCATCCATCTATCCATCCATCCATCCATCCATCCCATTCTATCCCATCTTATCCTTCCCAACCCCATCCCACCCATCCTGTTCCATCCCAACCCATCCCATCGGCCCCGTCTCATCAATCCCAACCCAATCCCAACCTTCTCATGCCATCCATCCTGTCCCCATTCCATTCCACAAATCCCATTCCAACGTTCTCATCATATCCATCCTGTCCCCATCCTATAGATCCCACCCATCCCAACCTTATCCCATCCATCCCATCTCATAAATCCCATCCATTTCATCCATCCCCTGCCAACCTTCTCATCTGTCCTGTCCCCATCCCACAGATCCCATCTCATCCATCCCTTCCCTATCCCATAGATCCTATCTCACAGACCCTATCTGACCCAATCCAACCTTCTCATCCCATCCATCCCACCCACCCCATCCCTGGCTCACCTGGTAAAAGGCATGGAAGTTCCTCTCTCCTGGTTGCTGCTGGAGGACTCGGGACTAGAAGAGGGAGCAGGGGGGTGGGTGCCATGCAGATCCCATGTGGCAGCAGAGTTCCCATGGGAGCAGTGCCCACCCAGCTGTACCCAGAGGCCCCACACCTTCTCCAGCAGGTAGTTGTGGACGTGGCCGCCAGTGGGGTCACCCTTGAAGTCGAAGTTGATGTCCATGTACTTGCCGAAGCGGCTGGAGTTGTCGTTGCGGTTGGTCTTGGCATTGCCGAAAGCCTCCAGGACACAGTTGGACTTGAGCAGCACATTCTTAACCCTTGGTGGGGCAGCACAGCACAGCTGCAGCATTGCTGACGGACTGTGGGCCCCACATACCACCCACATGGCCTTGGGATGCCCCAAGCTCCCCACACCACCCCACAGGCACGAGGCATCCCTGGTCCAAACACACCTTCTCTATGGGCATGAGGCAACCCTGGTCACCTCATGCTGCCCCATGGCAACTCTTTGGTCCTCCCACACCATCCCTCTGGTCATGGGACACACCTAGAGCTCTCCAGGGCCACCCCACACACATGGCGCACCCCTGATCATCCCAGCTCACCACTATATCCATGGAGCACCTCAGTTCCCCCCCACCATCCCTGTGTGGATGGGGTCCCCCAAGCTCTCCACAGCTTCCCTGTGTTTTGGGCACCCTTGTCTTCCCCCATCCCTATGGACATGGGACACCTCAGTTGCCCCACAACATCCCTATGGGTATGAAACACCCCAGGTTCCCCCAGAATCACCCTACAAGAGTAGAGCACCCCTGGTCCCCTCACACCTTCCCTATGGGTAGGCAGCACCCCAGAACCGGAACCTATGAGCACAGAACACCCCAATCCCTCTACACCATCCCTATGGACATGGGGCACCATGGACCTCCCCACTCTGTGGGCCTCCTCCCAGCCCTGGGCTGGTGGGTCCCAGCACCCACCCCACCTCCTGCCAGCACCCTGGGGCTGGACCCACCTCTCCACCTCAGCGCGCTGGGTGGGGTTGGTGATGGCAGCTATGTACTGCATGATGTACTTGCTGGCCTCTGTCTTGCCTGCCCCGCTCTCACCTGGCAGGGAAGGAAGTAGCTGAGTGAGGGCACCCACCACCTAAAGTCGGCTCCCATCCAAGGGTGCCCCAGCCCCTACCCGAGATGACAATGCAGGTGTCCTTAGCACGGCGCTTCATGGCCTTGTAAGCAGCATCAGCCAGGGCAAAGAGATGAGGTGGGCGCTCGTAGAGTTCGCGGCCACGGTAGCGCTCCACCATTGATGGCCCGTAAAGTGCCAGTGCCTGGTATGGATTCACCGCCACCACCACCTCCCCGATGTAGGTATAGATGCGGCCCTGCGAGAACCTGTACAGAGGAGTGGCCATGGGGCAGGCTATGGGAGGCATCCTGTGGGGTGTTGTGCTGTGGGGAGGCACACTGAAAGATGTAGTGCTGCAGGGATGGCACCAAGTGCCATGGGGCAGGATGGTGCTGTGTCACAGGGTCGCACCCTGCAGGGTGCTGTGGGGCAGGATGATGCTGTGGGGTAGCACCATGCCAGGTGCTGTGCCATGGAACATGGTGGTACCCTGCAGGATGCTGAGCCATGGGGTGGGACGACATCTTGTGTGGTGCTGTGCAGCAAGGCAGCATCCTGTGGGGTACCATGATGTGGTGTGGGGTGCCATGTTGTGGGGCAGGATGCTCAGCCTGCAGACCACCCTGCCATGAGGCAGGACACTTCCCCTTGGAGCTCACGGGATGAGTGTTACGCTGTGAGGTAGAGCCCGCCACTCTACCCACAACCATGGGGCTGGGCGGTGCCATGGGGCAGTGACTCTTCCTGTGGGCAGGAAGTGCATGGGGGCCCCTACAGATGTGCACCCACCACCCTCCCCACCCCCAGCCCCATAACCCCCCCCAGCCAGCTCCAGGGCAGGGAGGACAATGCCTTGGTTTCCCCCTGCCACAGCACAGCCCCACCCAGATGCTTCCTGCGGAGTCAGAGATTGAGTTCCCCCCCTCCCCGGTGTCCCCCATACCGCAGGCGCAGGTTCTCCAGGAACTGCTCCATGGTCACCTCATCCAGGAGGACGAAATCAGCTTTCCCGAATTCGGGACCCTCCAGCTCCACCATGCCGCAGCACCCACTTCCCTTCTCCCCCTCTCCCCAGAGCTGCACCGGCTTCCTGTACCACCAACTGCCGCGCAGCCGCGGTGAGGACCCATCGTCACCCAGGGTGACATCCTTGTAGACACCCAAATTTGGGGGTTGTCAACTCCCCACCACGCCCATCCCTCAGGACACGGTTTTGGGGGATACAGGGGGGATAGTCACTGGTCACGTCACCACAGGCGGGAAAACCCGGTTATTTATTAAGATGCTGCTGGTCAACATAGCTGTGTTCTCATCCCAGTGTTCCCAGTTAAACCCTCAGGATAACTGGGGAGCTCTGGGAATGATGTGCCCAAGGTGAAGGTCAGCAGAAAAGGGACCCCCATGCTGGCATCCAACTGGAAGGAAAGGGGGAAAATCATTAGGATGAGGATAATGGTGCTAATGAGCTCTTCTGGTGACTCCAAGCCCCTGAAATCCAAATTTCATGGCTCAACGCTTATCATGGCAAACCTGTGCTTGCCACCATTCTCAGTTTCAACTTTTACTCAAAAAAACATTCCCAGCAAATCCCAGCAATAAAAATCTTCCTTACCGAGGCTGTCAGCCAGTTTTCCTGGTGGCTTTCACAAAAATCTCTCAGATTTTCCACCTGGAATGGAAGAAATAAGGAAGATTTGGACTTGCGATAAGGAAAAATTGAAAGTTCTGTGTTTAATCCACCACATCCGCATGGCTCCTGGGACCAGAGTGGGACTGGGCAGAGCTTTTGCCTAAACCTTTAATTAATGGGATTAAATCCCCGAGAGCATGTGTGTGGAACTTCACAGCTTCTTGGTATCATCTGAACCTGCTCCGGGCACAAATCCCAGAGGCACAGTCCCATGGTGCAGCTCTCGGGTGGGATTTCAGCCTCTTATTTGATGGCTAAAGGGTGTAATTGCCTAACTGGATAATTGCACATAATTCAACTAATTACAGTAATGGGATGAGCCCAGGAAATGCTCCCCAGTCAGCACAGGGAGTGGTTGCCCATAAATCCCTGTGGGATAAAGGGTTCTCCATCACCCCATGCCAATGCTCTCTCATGGAATGCCATCCTGAGACTCATCTGGCACCTTATGAAGTGATCAGGCCTCAGCAGACCCCAACTTACAGTTCAGTTAACTACAACGCATGGCTGTTGAACCCATCTTCTCACTCCCGGTGTCCTCCTCCGTCCATCCTGTTCATCATCCCAGTGGGAGCCTGGAACTGGAGAAGGCGAACCGGCCTCAGTGGCTGCACCCTACCCGGAGACTAGGGCTGCCCTCGGGCACGGCGTGTCCGGGATATCTATAACCCCACCCCGGAGAGAGCGGGGAGAGGCCTCAAACCGTCCCGGGGTTACTCTGGCAAGCGCTGTAGGAACGGCGGGGACCACTCCAGGCCCCCCCACGCTGGAAGGCTTGCGGAGGGGGAACTGGGCCCCACCAGGCCCCTGAGTCACGCAGCCCCCCTTACCCCGGCCCGGTGATCCCTGCTCACCCCGGGGACACGCAGGCCCCCGGGCCCGGTGATCCCCGCTCTCATCGGTCAGGCCTCACGGAGAGCTACCCTTCCCAGCATGCACCGCGCCCCACAGCACCTCACGGCAGCAGCCACTGAGCTCTGTAAGGGAGAAGCGCCCAGCCCTGCGCTGTCCCGGGGCGCCTCCGCTTCATCGCCGGTCCACGGGGGCGGTTCCGGTGGCGGATGGCAGCGGATGCCGCCGGATGGAGCAAGGCCGCGCCCCCCTCACTACCCGCCGCTGCCGCCATAGCTCAAAACGGACCCTCGCCGGCGTATGACGTCACCGCGCTACGTCGAGGGACAGCGCCACCTGGCAGGGAGGGAGCGCCGGAGGGGTCAACGCTTGCGCAGAAGAGCCGCAACCGCCGTTGAGCCTAGCGCCCAGGGCCACCTCCCCGCTGCAGCCGCCGCAACGGAAAGAGGCCGGGAACGGCGCCACCCGCCCTGGCCGACGGCTCGACCTCCTGGAACGTTTCCGTAGTGCGGCCTGGTCTGGGGCGGAGCTAGGCCTCAGAATGGGCGTACCCATACACATGGGTGGGGCCTGCGCTCCCATAACTACTGTGGTTCCAGCAGAGGGCAGGGCTGGCGCTGGTGGGCGTGACTTAGCCTCCTGCGGAGCGCATGCGCGGTGCGTCTCTACTCCCCCCTTCGCGGGCCCGGGGAGGACTGACGTCAGTCCTCCCCTCGGAGGGCGGGGCGCGGTGCACGCCGGGAAGCCGCCGCCCAAGATGGCGGCAGGATTGAAAAGTTGTTGGTGGCGCTGAGGCGATTCCGGGCGGGCCGCGGCTGGGAGTGGGAGCCGGGTCTCCGGCGGGCTCTATGGTCGCTGCCAGGCAGTGAGCCCGGTCACCTGGGCCCCGCTGCGCACCGAGTCCGAGCGAGCACGGCTGCTGCGGGGATGCCCCCTGGGGGGCCGGGGCCGCCGCCGCCGGAGACATGGAGGAGGAGGGCAAGAAAGGCAAAAAGGTGAGAGGGGGCTGCCCCTGGGGCGCCTTAGGTTTGTGAGGCCCCTCTGGAGCCAGAGGCGGAAGGGCATCTCCTCACCCCTGGGACCCTTCACTCCCTACCCTAGCCCCTTGGGTCCTCTGTGGCCCACAACTTGTGGCCAGCTGTTTCGGAAAGCCCACCTAGGTGTGGCTGGAGCCCCTCTTGGCCTTTTCCTATCCCTGTGGTGGCTTCATGTGTGGCCCTGTCCGAGCTGACCATCTTCCAGTAGGTGTGACTCCCCTGAGGGCTGGAGCCTCGCTTCCCTCACTAAAATACCCCTCCCTGTGAATTTAGGGCTTAGGAGGCATGTTGCTATGGTCTCTCTGCATTGGTCAGGGGCTGATTCGGGTGCTTTTCAGGCTGCAAACGAGGTTGGAAGCTAAAGGCAAGCCTTAAACACTGTTCTGTAACAGCACTGGGATGTTTTGTCTACTGACTGGTGCTAAACCGGCTGGGCTGCATACACGAGCATCGTATTTGTATATCTAAATTGAGTCAACTACAGTCAAAGCTACTGTGCTGCAGGCGCCTCAGAGCTCATCAAGCTCCAGCTACGTTGGCTGTATCTGGGCTGCTCCAGTTTCTCTTCTTTAAACCTATTTTTATGTCGTGTGGGGGAGGTAACGGAGCTGAGGATTGAGGCTGAGATGCTTGCCGAGAGCAGCGCTCCCTGGGGTGGGGGTGGCTTCTTTTTGAAAGCAACCTGTCCCATGGTTTGGTGACATAAAGGGAGGAGAAAATAGCTCTCTTTAGTTGTTTTGGGGGTACCTGCAGTAACGGCGATCTCAGAAGGTGGCAGCAGAGTCTCCTGCTGGAACTCTAGTTCAAACTGATCAGGATACTTGCAGAATGAGAAATATTAAATGTGGGTTTCTTGTCTGGTTTTGGTTTTTATTCCTGAGTTACCACACAAGTTTCTTAGAGCTGTGTCTGGGAAGTTAAACCACACCTGTGTGGGGGGTGGAAGGATCAGCAGTGCAGGTGGAAGAGAAATTATTTGGATGTGTCACAGTCCTGTTTTTAAGAAATCATGATATCATTGAATCACAGAATGGTTTGGATTGGAAGGGACCTTAAAGCCCATCCAGTTCCAACCCCCTGCCATGGGCAGGGATCTTCCACTAGACCAGGTTGCTCCAAGCCCTGTCCAACCTGGCCTTGAACACTGCCAGGGATGGGGCAGCCACAGCTTCTCTGGGCAACCTGTGCTAGGGCTTCACCACCCTCACAGGGAAGAACTTCTTCCTCAGATCTCATCTCAGTCTTCTCAGTCTCCCCTCTGTCAGTTTAAAGCCATTCCCCCCTATCCAAAGCCCCTCTCCAGCTTTCTTGTTGGCCCCTTTAGACACTGGAATCTGCTCTCAGGTGTCTCTGGAGCCTTCTCTTCTCCAGGCTGAACAAGCCCAGCTCTCTCAGCCTGTTTCCATTGCAGAGGTTTGCCAGCTTCAGAGCTGGATGCAGGACTACAGGAAGAATGCTCACTTCTGGGGCTGCAGTTAATTGTAGAGTAGCTGTAGATATAAGCAAATACCTGATACTTGTGGTGGGCAGTGTCTGCAGAGCTAGGAGCAGTGCTCACCTAGAATATGCAGGCAAGATGTGATAACCTTGTACAAGTGGAATCAACTCGTCTCTACTGAGAAATGTTTTCTGCTGCATGGGGAAAAAATTGTGTGTGTGGGAGGTTCCTTAGAAAATCATATTTTCCAGGAATATTGCTTGCTTTTGTCCCTGGAGATAGAGTGCTGTTGTGCCAGCTGGAGTAATCTGGGATCTTTGTGCTGCTGTCTGGTATCTCTTAGCATGAGAAGAGGTAGCCAGCTCCTGTGGTCACAGATCCTCAGGACAGCTGAGGTGGTAGGGACCTGTGAAGATGGCCTAACCCAGCCTCCTGCTGGGAGCAGACTGTGTCCTCTTGGGGTTTGATTATCTCTGAGGATGAAGACTCCATGAACTCTCTGGGTAACCTGTTCTACTAATATGTTCACCCCACATTAATAAGGTCAGGGGTTAACCTGATGCCATTTTTCTGGGTCTGCTGCAGCATGTTGTGGTCTCTCATGTACTGGTGGCCCTAGATCCAGCCACTCCAGTCCCGCAGTGCTGTTTCCCTGCTGTGTGATAGGTGATCCCTATGGATGAGGAGCTCACTGTGACCCACAGGAATTGGCTGCAGCTGGGGAGCTCAGTGTCATACAGTGGTGGCATCTCTGGGCTTATGGAGCTTGTTTGGTGAAAGATTTTCATCATAGAGATGGTTGATTAATCCTTGGAGCAGGTGCTATGGAGATGGGCATATTCATCTGCTGTGCCACAGCTGTTCCCAGCTGCAGGGAGGAACTCTTCCCATTTTTTTTTTTTTACAGGCTCTGGACCATTCTAGATGGCAGGTTCCCATCCCTCTTCCAGCAGCAGGCTGAAACAGGGGATCTGAGTTCCTTCAGTGATGCTCTGAAGGGGTAGGAGGCAGGTTTGGTCAGGACTAGGGAGAAAATCCCAGCCCTGCTTTGGGGTGACTCCAGCTTTAGGCAAAGCTTGTGCTCATTAAACTGGAGCCCTGGAAATCCTGCTAGGAGCTTGCTCTTGGTGGCTTCCACCAAGGACCTCATCCCAGTCAGAACACAGCAAGGGCAGAATGGAGCACATCCCAGCCTGCTTTTAGCTGTCCTTAAGAGATGTCCCTTAAACAGGTTAGGAATAGAACATCTATTCCTCACTAATACTGGGAGGAAGGATGGGTTAATTCAGAGTGTGTTGGCTCTAGTTGGGCTGTGTGGCTTTCATGGTGCTTGCCAGTGAAGTCAGCTGGGCTGTGGAAACCTGCTTGAAGTTGGAGAGCAGTTGATCTGCCTTGAATGAGGATGGGTGTTCCTGGCATGCTCCTTCCTGGAAAGAGAAGGGGTGGAGGGAGGGTGGAGGCACATTTTAATTGCTTTAAGCTGCCAGAGAGGAGATTTAGAGGAGATCTGAAGAAGTAGTTCTTCCCTGTGAGGATGGTGAGGCCCTGGCACAGCTTACCCAGAGAAGCTGTGGCTGCCCCCATCCCTGGCAGTGTTCAAGGCCAGGTTGGATGGGGCTTGGAGCAACCTGGTCTGGTGGAAGGTGTCCCTGCCTGTGGCCAGGGGCTGGAACTTGATGAACTGTAATGTCCCATTCAACCCAAACTGTTCTGTGATTCTATGATTTCTTGGTTACCCTGGTTATTTGCCTGTAGAGACGATTTTCCTGCTGGCCTCCATTGTGCAGGCTCTTACAACATTTCCAATCCATACGATAGCTGCTAGGCTGCCACAGGTGATCCACTGCAGAATGCTTCCCTGTCTTTCCTGAAGTAATTCTCTGGGCAGTGTTAGATGTTAGCCTAGAATTCCTTAGTTTTCCTGCACAGGTGTGCTCCACATCTCTGCTGTCAGCTCAGTTTGCCTCTTCCAGCAGTTGCTGGCTCTTCCTTGTAAAGCTGATCTCGGTCTGCAGCACCAAATTCCTTGTGGTTTTTAAATGCTGGTTAATGTAGAGGATGTTGGCCAGTCCAGCAATTCCTTCTTGTGCAGATCATTGGGAAATGTCTGCCAAAACTGTGCTTGTAACTCTGGAGTGTGCTTCGCCCCATGCCGGAGGACTTGGGCCGCAGGGTCATGTTCCACACTGGGGTGTGTGGAGGGGTATGGAAAGCTGAGAAGCTTCTGGGGAGGGGGAAGTAAATAGCTGAAACTGAGCTGTTTCTTGAAGCTGGATGGTGCAGGGCAGGTAATCAGCATTAATATAAAAGATACTGAGGGGTTCAGGGATTGACTTGAATCACAGCTTTGTGGGATTTTCTGCTTGCAGGAGAAGTTGCTTGAGCTTCCTTTATTATCCCAAATATCCATTTTGTTCATGCCAGAATAACTGCTGGGTGTTGACAAACCCCCTTGCCTGTGTTCCTGTCTGAGACTCCATTGCCACAGGAATGATTCTTGTATGACTTCACTTATTTAGGTCACTTAAACCATAGAATCACAGCACGGTTTGGGTCGGAAGGAACCCTAAAGCTCATTCAGTTCCAGCCCCTCTGCAAGGGCAGGGGCACCTTCTACTGCGACCAGGTTGCTCCCAACCCCATCCAACCTGGCCTTGAACACTGTTGTGGATGGAGCAGCCACAGCTTCTCTGGGCAGCCTGTGCCAGGGCCTCACCACCCTCACAGGGAAGAACTTCCTCAGATCTCATCTCAGTCTCCCTTCTGTCAGCTAGAAGCCATTCCTCTTGTCCTGTCACTTCATGCCCTTGTAAAAAGGAGCTCCAAAGCTGGACACAGGACTGTGGGATGCTTTCACAAGATCACATGGGGGAGAATCCTCTCCCTCAGCCTGCTGGTCACGCATCTGGTGATGCAGCCCAGGACATGGTTGGTTTCTGGGCTGCAAGCGCACACTGCTGGGTTATGGTGAGCTTCTCGTTGACCAACACCCTCAAGTCCCCCTCCTCAGGGCTGCTCTCAGTCCAGTCTCCTCCAGCCTGTAGTTGTGCTGATGTAACTAACACACTGTGTGTATTGTTTAGCTTGATTTTTAGGCTAGTAAAAGGACCTGCATGCACTTGCACCCTGCACTGAGTTGGTTGTGAGCTCATGGCTATACTTCCAGGTGGACCAAGCCATGTGACACTCATTCCAGTATGCTGCCTGTCACCCCCTGCTCTATTCTGTCTCACACCTTGATGCAGCAGCCCTGACCTGATCCCCAGCCATTTCGGGATGAGTAGATTTATCAGTTGGGCTGTGATTCCCTGTGATAAAGCTCCAGGTACTGCCTCCTGGCATGGTGGCTGCTTGATCACTTCATGCCTTGCTCTGATGCCACGATGCAGAGGGTGTGATGAGAGACTTTTAGCCCCTTTCTCTGAGCTCTGTGCCTGTGCAGAAATTGCCGTTGTAACCTGAAAACCTGCTTCCAGGATAACTGCAGAGTTTGGAGTCCTAGGAGGTGTGTCCAATGAGC